GCATCCTGTGAGCTCCTGGTAAACATTCGCACGGCAGGCCAGGCGGGGTGGGGCGGTGGGGGCTTCCCCCGCGCCATCACGATCCTCTGGGACGTTTAGGAACTGTCTTCCCAGGGGACCACTGGGCACCATGAAGCCAAGTTTGTGTCTGTCTCCCCCAGTGGCATCCCCAGCACTGAATGTGAACAGGTCAGTTAATGAGCATTTGTGGATGGGTGGGTGGATGGGTGGGTGGGTGGATGGGTGGATGGATGGGTGGGTGGGTGGGTGGATGGATGGATGGGTGGGTGGGTGGATGGGTGGATGGATGGATGGTTAAATGGATGGATGGGTGGATGGGTGGATAGATGGATGGGTGGATAGATGGGTGGGTAGATGGATGGGTGGATGGGTGGGTGGGTGGGTGGGTGGATGGATGGGTGGATGGATGGGTGGGTGGGTGGGTGGATGGGTGGATGGATGGGTGGGTGGGTGGATGGGTGGGTGGGTGGGTGGATGGATGGATGGGTGGATGGATGGGTGGATGGATGGAAGGGTTCATGCATGCCAGTGCAACCTGCTCCTAACAGGTCACGTGGCCAGGCAGAGTTTAATTAGGCAATATTTTAATATTGATGAAATGTAAAATGCCACACAAAATCCATGCTGAGACCGTGGATTTCATCAAGAAAAGTCCCCAAGGAAGAACGTCATCAATTTTTTAGGACTTTAAAATTGAAAGGAACCCCTTTTATCATTTAGTTAAATGGCTCCATTAGGAAAAAGAGAAAGCTGAGGACCAAGGAGACAAAATAACTTGCCAAGTCACCATGTCAGCGCCAGTTAGGACTGGGTCGTGGCTGGGGCTGGGTGCAGCAGCATTTGAGCCAGAGGGCGCTGGGCTCTGTGGTTAGGAGTCCCACCTCCACACACGGCAGTGCAATGGCTCCTGGTGACGGACGCTGGGCAGGAGCAGGGAAGGGACTCAGTTCTGGGGCTGAGTGTTCAGATTCAGTGTGTTCTGTGGGCAGGAAAGCACTGTTATGTGATCGCTTCTAATCTCTTCAGCCTACTGGGTACTTCTGGAAGTATCTTAATTTTTGGGTCAGACGCTCAGTTCTCCAACATGCCTGGGAGATTTTTTTCTCATCCAGGGTCCTAACGTGGCAAGGTTGATTTGGGGAAAATAATTAGTAAACATTTGAAAGTGAGAAACAAATTATTCTGAACTCTTAGCTTGCTCCTTCAAGTACACACTCAAAAATGACTAAGACTATTCTGCAAGAAAGCTGGGATCTCTCCCTAAGCCATAATGTGGCTAAGCTTACTGAAATATCTTTACCATTTTATTAGAGGTTTTAATCACTGCTTTATCATTCTCTGTTAGATTGCAAAATATACTTAAATATTCAAGTGGTAATTAATGAACCTTTTATGTTGCAAATCAAATATTTCCATCTGGGTGCGCTGAGGTGCTGCGGAAGGAGGAGTTTCTCCCGCTCCCACCAGCTGACGGCGGCCCCGGCGCCCAGGGCCGTCTGTGGCCCCGCGGCTGGCGCTCCACGCGGGCCCGTCTGCTGTCTCTCTGAAGGTCAGGCTCCTCACGTGTTTCTTGCCAGAGACATTCCCGACTCGACGGAAAGTCTTTGAATGCGGAATTTCTGCTTGAGTGCAAAATAATAAAAAGCATGTGTATGTTAAAAAAGGATCAGCTTAATGGCAAATGAGCTTTGGTCTGCATTAATATTCTATTACAGTAAAAACTTCTATTTAATAAATTTTCTCCAGACTTTCCCCCCCAGAATCTAATGTATTTTTCTAAGTGGCCTGCCAACCTAAGGAAAGTATATATGATACATTTGATTTATGTTAAGTCAATAACATGCACAAGCCATTTAAAATTGTATTTTAAATGTAGAAATAGCAACCCAAGGAAACATGTTTAGAACCATATACTGAGACGGGGAGTGTTAACTTTTCAGAGGCCGAAATACCTTGTAAATGTTCTTGTTTAGTAGGTATTTTTTAAACCTGGTGCTTTGTCAAGTGGCAAGAAAGCAAATCTGAAATCCTGCCATTTGGATCTGAACTAAAATGGAGCTGCTCCTCAGGACTTCACCGCCCACAGCAGCTCCGACGCTTCTCCGCTAATGAGCGAGCCGGAGCCACGGACGGGCGGAGCCGCCCGGCCCTGGAAGTGCCGGAGCTGCGCCCGGCCTAATTAATACCGGGCTGGTGACATTTATGTATCAGAGCAATAAGCTAAACAGGAAACAATTTATGTCACCTAAAGCTTTTTACCAAATCGATGCAGCTCTTTGTAATTGCTTGTTTCACAAGATGAAAAGTGCTAAGGCCTGATCTTCGTCCATGGATTTGTGGTCAACTTGACCTGTGCTTCCGTTGTTAAAAAAAAAAAAAAAAAGTTGGTGATCATCACTGACTTTCATCAAGTGATCCATATTGCTAACATTTCTGGAATTTTAATGTAGTTACAATTTATAGCCGATCAAATGTGGTTACCTAAATTGCTGTTGCTAGTCGGCAGTTTAACTGTCTTTATTAATTACAGTATAATTTAATGTTTGAACACCGGCACTTGTGTTGGTCATTTTTACAGCCAGAGCAGTTATCTGCCTTATGACGAACCATTTTAGCATTTTCAATGGAAATTTGCTAATATGATGAGTGATAAAAATGTCACACACTGGTAAATAATGATTATTGCTTTGGCTGAAATTAATTCTTGAAAGATCAGTTACCTTCAAATTAACATTATAACTTGAAGTCTTTTCCTTCCTTATATTCTCGATATAAGCCAAAAAAAAAAAAAAAAAAAAAAAAAAAAAAAAAAGACTGGTAATTTCAAATGGAAATACCCATTATGTAAATAAATATGTAGATATAGATATTTATCTATATATCTATATCTATATAGAGAGCACTGAAGGTCATTTTACAATACATTTAGCTTCTTTAAAAAGTCAAATACTGTTTAAAAATAAAGAGGTAATATTTAAAGTGATAGCTTTCTAACCCAACTATTGTCCCAGTTAAGCCAGTGTTTTCATATGTAACTTACTTTCCCTCAATGTGAATTGTCTTAAACTTTTCATCAGTCAATTCCTTAAATGAAAGTTTCAGACCCAACTTCCCTTTAATAAGGAATACTTTAACTTGACTCAACTACAATGATAAATTGTGACCACTATCCTGAACATAAATGTGTAAGATCAAAAAGAAAAAAATCTAGTAAGACAATACTTTGGTTGGTTTTCCTTGGAGAAGTGGGCATTACCCTCATGTGCCTGTGCTGGTGTGAAACTCCTATTCCTGAGAATCTAAGCTCTTACAAAAAGGTCTCATTTAAAAGAAAACCTGTATTTTGGATTTGCTGCCTTGTTTACCTGACAAGTGTGAAATATGTCAAGGATGTTCATGCTTTAGAACAGTTCCCGACCTCGTCGTCACTAGTGCATTGTCATTCTTGGTTTGGGTCCTTCAGCTTACTCAAATGTGTGAGCACACTGACCCTCAGCTGCGTGTGCCGGCAGCCTTTGGCTGGCCCGGCTTTGTGGGGCATCAGAACCCACAGCCTTCGCTAGCCGTGGAGCACTGGGGAGCACTGGGGCCCGCGGCTCGCCAGCTGCCAGGCTAGGGCACTGCGGGCTGCGGCCCGCCTGCCCAGAGAAGACACCCTCCGGCCGCTCAGCAAGGCCTGCCGCAGAGCAGGGGCCTCCTGAGCCACGCCGGGGGCACACCAGCCTCCTCCTCAGCAGGACCGCGTCTTCCGAGTGAAAGGGGCAAGGCTCAGCTCTCAGCCCGTTCGCCGTGGGATGGGATGTGCTCCGAACATCAGGTAGCGGCTTTTATTACCACGCTCTGGCCACTTAACGTGCTGCTTTCAACAGATTAGTGATTTCAACCCATTGCTGCAAGAATTTTTAAAACACCTAACACCTCACTATTTAAAAATACCGGGAACTGACTTCATTTCCCTTAGATTGTCAAATAAAAAATGACAAAAGCCAGCCAGTGTGGCTCAGTTAGATGAGTGTTGCCCGTGTACCAAAAGGTCGTTGGTTCGATTCCTGGTCAGGGCGCATGATTCTCATTGGGGAGTGCAGGAGGCAGCGTGTTGATCTCGCTCTCATCAGTGTTGGCATGTTTTTCTCTCCTTCCTTCTCTCTCTAAAAAAGTCAATAAAATATATTTGAAGAAATGCCAAGAACCAACACAACAATAGCCATCTACTGTGAATCAAAATTACACTTTTTTTGGCCAGATCAGCAAAAAATACATTTTTTTTAATTTAACACAGAATTTTAGTAATTAGTTTATGTATGCCATTAGAAAGGGTTGAAAATTGCTGCAATAGACCAATTTCATTTTTACTGAAAGATGCCCAAATTAATTCTTAGTGTACACAACATAACATTAAAAATAAATTTTATTGAAGATATTCAATTTTAAAAATCTCAAGATCAAGATGGTTTTTCTGGAATAGTTACTGGGGCTCTTCTGTTTCCTTCCCTGAGAACACTGATCTAGCATATTTTTATAGAATGTTTTTATAAAATCACTTGTTCTAAGCATTTATCATTATATGCAAAAAGATCTCTTGATGAGAATATTATAGACGGTGCATGTTTTTGACATTAGCATTTTATTTGGATGACTAATCTTGCAGATGTGAAATTCTAATGAATTATTCATGATATTGCTTTCCTCTGAAATTTCAGTTTGCTCTTAATGCTAGTTATTAAACATTTTGTTTTTCTCCATAAAACCTGATGAAGAAAAATAAGACCGTACTTCCTCAGGAGCAGAGGTCGCCTCCTCGTCCCCGGTTCCCATTCCCCGGTGGAGACGGGACTTGAGGCCCGAGGCCAGAGCTTCGGCCTGTGACGCTGGGAGCTCAGGCCCGATGATCTCAATCAGCGCTGGCAGCAGCCGAGGACGCCGGGGCCGTGCCCAGCGGACACAGTCGCGGGGAGAGGGAAAGAAACGCAGGCTGTGGCGACTCTGACCACCAGTGTGAACAACCAGCATTTTATTGCATTTGAGAATGCCATGTCAGTCCTCAGTACTGACTACACATTTTTTATTGTCTGCATCCACAGACACGGAATGATGGAATTACAGTTGATATCAAGGAATGAGTTTCTTTTATGCCGTATCAAAACGAAACAAAACGGAAGTTCCTGTTGCTGGCAGCGCCGCCCTGGAGCGGGCGGTCCCGCTGTGCTGTCTGCGCCGTCTGGGGGAGACCGTGAACTGCCGGGGCCCACGATGCCGTTAGATTACAAGTCTCATTCTCAGGATAAAAAAAGCAAAACCGACTCTCAAACACATTCAAAGTATCAACAGGGCACACCGTTAACCGAAGGTACCACACCATCCCAAACCCTTAGAACGCAAGCCCCCTGCGCCCTGGGAAACGAGCTCAGCTGGAATGTGGGAAGGAGAGGAAACATGTAACTTTCTTTTCACAATAAGAACCAGTGCTTTACATCACTTGGGTGAAGAACCAGGCTGGTGGTTAGGTGATGGGTGTGAGGTGTCAGAGCTGTCGGTGGGGCCGGCCGGCGACCGGCTCTGGGGCCGTGGGGTCGTCATTCCTGACAGCGCTTGCTTGGCCTGGTTCGCGGGACCACGTCCCTAAGGTTTGCTTTTTGTTGGAGAAAATGTAACAAATTGTGTTTACATTTTGGCACCTTGTAAAGTGTTTTTTTTTTTAATACAAAAAGTTCAATAGCTTTGACACTCCTCGCCATTAATCACCACGTCACTGATAAGCTTTGAAAGTGTGGCCCTGCAATTTTATCATGCAAATATGTACTGCAGCAGAAAACATCGTTAAAACATTTCTTCTCTTTTCAAATGTATGAACTTGTTTAAGATCGCCAGGAAGGCAGTGTAGGATAGACACAATGGATAGGAATGTATCAAAAAAAAAACAGATTATCACACATGCCCACGCACACGCACACACACACACACACACAAAACCTGTACAAAATGCTCCAATCAATGAGAAGGGGGGGAAAAGTCTGTTAACTATGTTACAATTTAAAAGCAAAAGAAAAAAAGGGTAGGGAATTTCTCTCTCCCACATGTCAGGAAATGTCATCCGATATTCTTAAAGCAAGGATAACTAAATAAAATACATGTGCAGCATATCCTGCAATTCCATTACATACAGTAGTTTTCTCCCCAAAGCTATTTTTTAAGTATCATGAATATAAAGCAGTTGCACAAAAAGCAAAGGTGTTTTGACAAACAGGTGTATGCATTTATTCCTTTTTAGGAACAATATCTAAAAAAAGATCCGCCCGCCTCCCTCCCCCAGAAAGACAAAGATTCACACAGACAGTTGGGATATATGTACAACATAATAAACATCCTAAGGAGCGGCCGGGGCAGCCCCCGGGATACAGTCAGAGTGTGAAATCAGAGCGGAGTCTGCTTGCTGTAAGCCTGAGAATGTTTTCAGTTGGTTCTCCTGCAAGGCTGTGACACCTGCACGACATGGAGTCTAATTCTTCCTTCTCACCTTTGCTACAGTCTTTAGACTAAGCATGCAAGACATACGACTAAGTGCAACTGAGTGACTTTTTTAATTTTAATCATTCCCTAAGGTTTGAACTGAGGTATGCGTACTAACAGTTTCTCATGCTGTTCTCTTTACTCATGTCTAGCTACACATGCTGAGAATGAACTAATCTACCAGATTTTTATCCTCTTTTGAATACCAAACGAACCAGCCACCACTCTTCAGAAGCACGGGCCCTGCCCAGGCCCTGCTGGCCGCCGCTGAGCGGCCACGGGGAGGCTGCCGGCCGGCCACAGGCTGCGCCGGCAGAGCCGAGGCGCGTCAGGTCCACTGCCAGAGGAGTTTTGTACCAAGCTTACGAGTGGACAGGAGTGTTACTTTATTAAAAAATGAAAAACGCTGGCCAAGGCCTAATCAGAAAACAAAGAAAAAAAACGTTTAAACAAAGAAGAGGATATGTGCCAAGAGAAACCAAAATTACCACAGTGACCACAGCACAGCCTGAAACAAAAGTGGCGTGAATCCTCCTCTAAGGAGCGTCTTCTCGAATCACACGGGAGGTGCAGGCCCACTGCGGGAGCTCCTCTCTGGGCTCCGTGGTGCCGCCTCGGCCCGGCCACCGCAGCTCCCCAGGCACAGGCAGTGAGACGGACCCCCTTCCCCTGGGACTGCTGTAATGCCGTGTCCTACGCTCGTCTCCAGTAGCCCCGTAATCTCTCTTTACAAGAATGAATTTGGTCTTGGTAGAGATTCAGAAGAGAAAAATACCCAACAACTAAAACAAGTAACAACTTTGGTTCCATCATCTGCTTGGCCTTCTACATCTACGAAGGAGCAGCTCTTCCTCAGCTTCCGCAGCCACAGCCCACCCATTGCCTCTAAGTCCTTCCCTCCTTTGATCAACAATAAGAGGATATTTGGCTTCATCAGATAAAGCATAAAACAGAGAACATAATTTACCTTTGTGTAATATCTTTGGTAATTTTAGAAAAAAAGGTACAAAGAATATAAATTAAGCTCCAAAGGGCTCTCAAACTAAAAACAAGAGCTACGGTCCTAGGGGAGCAGCGGGGCAGAGGGCTGCGGCTGCCGTGGCCAGCGCTCCGGGCCGGCGGTGCTGAGTGGCCCTCCCGCCCCCCTCCTGCCCCAGAGCCCAGGCTGGACGCGCCCGCTCCGTCTCCTAGGCCTGCCTGCCCTGGGCTGTGTGATCAGGGCGTGCGCACTGAGCTGCAGCAGCCAGCCTGCGCACGTGACACCAACACCTCAGCACCTGCCCAACTCAGTCTCCACCGGACAGCTGACTGGATCACACAGACTGATGCCACCATGAGGTCTGAACTGGTGTTAAACCACCACCACCACCACCATCGCCACTCCAGCAGGGCTGCCAAGGAAGCCGGCTTTCTGGCCCCTTTGCAAACACAGCGCCCACTCTGGCACAGCATGGCTGGTCCCGAGTTGGTCCCACCAGGTGAGCCTTCACAGCCAGGTGCCAGCCCCGAGATGGTGAGCTGCTGGGGTGCGGCCTGCGTTTCCCGAGCTGGTGGGATGCTGCGGTCGCTGAGGATGAGGCAGCTGCGAGGTCAGAGCGCGTATCGAACCAGCCCTCCCGCCCGCACGGCTGCTCCGAGCCCCTGCTTTTCTGTCATCCATTCTCGGGCAGGCCGCGCTCGCGGACCTGCATGTGTAGAGTGCAGCATTTGGACCTTTTAGAAAAAGACCAAAACGGAATGTTTTCTGACTTTGGAGAAAACATGGTGATGTCTGAAGAAAAATGGAATGAGTGACAGAAAACTACAAACAAGAACTGACATTCAGCGCTGTATAATAAACACCTAGAACATTCATCACAAGGTACAGGAACACGAAGCCCCCAGGAGGCCGTGGGCCCCAGCGGAGGCCTGAGGTCAGAACTTAAAATGGCAGAGGAGAAGCAAGAAGAAAAAGCAATACATTAAAAAGTGTGGGGTAATTATTTTTCACCCCTCCCCCCAATAAACACACAAAGGCCTTCCCCATCCCAACTGGAAGCAAAACCCCCAAACAAACCCCGCTGGAGGAAGGCAGTGACGACATGCAGAGCGTGGAGCGGGCCTCGGCGCGGGCCCGCGCAGGGCGTCCTCGGTCCGGTCCGCGGGACTGCAGTTCAGAGGCTGCTGCTGAAAGCGAGTCGGTTTAGCGAATTTACAACAGCTGCTGACCGTTAGAGGGGAAATCCCGAGTACCAAACACGTCCATCCGATGCACAGAGTACAAATTCCTTTTTTCAACAAAAAGTAGAAAAATCAAAAATACTCCCAAATGGGGTTCTGGATGGCACTGAGTTAACCTTTCAGAGTCTGCCAAAGCGCAGTGACGCTCCTCCAGACTGTACAGCAAGCGGAGAACGGCGTCACTGCTCGCTTTTGACGTGTTTTGTTTTTTCCAATCTTCATTTTTGGGGTCGGCCTACCCAGATGTTCATTCCATGTCCTCATTTACCGCTTCATCTTCGTAATCTCTGTCCTGGTCAAACTCGGGGCTGTGGTTGGCTGTGGTCACCAAGGACAGCGGCCCCTCGGCCTCCTCCGGGTCCAGGGGCTCCTCCTTGACGTGCACCGGATGCCTGGAAGTGAGAACAGGATCTCAGGGAATGCTGCCAGTGCAAGCTGGCGGCCCTGCGCTCCACAGAAGCGCATCTAGACCACACTGTCCAACAGGGCAGCGCGGCCACAGGTGGCCTTTAAGTTAAAATTAATACAATTTGAAATTCAGTGTCTCACTGCACCGGCCACATTTCCAATGCTCAAGGCCAGGTATCAGTAAGGCCACCGGACAGGGCAGCACGGAGCTCCCGCCCTAGTGGCTGGAGCCTGGTGGTCTCTGGACCAACTGGCCGTCCTCCTCCCAGGGGCCTCGGGCAGGCCGGTGCACCCCATTCCCTGAGGGTCTTGAGAGGAGGCAGAGGGGACTCGGGGCCTGAGACTGGTGGCGCTGCTGGTCCGGGGACCACCCTGAGCCCCGGCGGCATCTGAGTGATGACTACAAATCGTCACGTCACACCGAACTAGGACTCTGGGGGGCAGCGGCTGGCGGCAGGAGAGCGGAGGCTGTGCTGCTTTGCTCGTTAGCATGCGGACCCTGCGAGAGAACTCTCCTGAGAACGACCCAAGTGAAGTCCTATCATTAATCAACTTCAAGCAAACACAGCAAAGAGACACCATGATACATGCTTGAAACTCCAAATTAATGCATATTTTCACAAACTGTCAATAAGGCAAGAAAAGCCCTGCCAGGAAACACAGGCGAAGAGGAAAATGCTCCCTCAACACAACACGGTGATAAGGCAGCAGAGCCCGATCAGAAGAGCAAGGCTGTCAGCGGTAAACAGGCCCAACAGGAGCCCGTGCAGCGGAGGGCGGGAGGCCCTGCGGCTCATTAGGGACTGAGTGTGGCCCAGCTGGAGGCCCACAGGGATGGCAGGACATCACTCTGATAAAAACTGAGAAATGTTCCTTAGTCATATTTACAACCAGGCTTTTGCAAACACAAATTACTTGGTGCTACAGGGCTTTGATATGTAAAAATTGCTCTGTTCGGTTAAAGGCCCTTCCTGGGCCAGCCGCAGAAAGAGGATGCTGTAACTGACATTATTAAGTTATTATTAATGATAAGAGGTGTTCCTGCAGGTGGACGGCTGGTTTCCTGAGTGATTGATGCTGTGCCCAAACTCGAAGGCCGCCTGAGCCTCTGAAAACGAACAGGAGTGCCGTGTGCTGCCCTGACCCTGTGCACCTTCAGAAAATCCAGACTCCAAACCGAGAGGAGGGGAGCAGATGGCAGGAGGAAGCGCTTTCTTACAATAAAGTGTCCCCAAGCTGTGTAATAACATGCTTTACTAGTTGTGGTGCGTCTGCTTTGTTTCCTGATGGTCCTATTTGTCTGTGCTTCTACAGTGAGACCTGACCTGGCTACATAATTGGCAGAGCCCTCTGTGAAGGGAAACTGGTTCGAAATTTAGTAAGACTTTCAGGCTGGAAGCAGTCCTGGGCATGGCGTCCCTCCTGTCCCGGGCACACCGCATCCTCTGTGCGCCGATTATCATTCCTTAAAGAAGCCCCCGCTCCTGATCAGGGGAGGGGTTTGGTCTGTGCTCCCCCCTCCACCTGGGGTCTCATTTCCATATCCTGTGAGCTACTCCGTGTGTGACGGCTCCCGTCCTGCTCTCTGTGGGACACAGAGGCGACTTCTGTCCATGAATCTTTCTCCCTCTGCTGATTTCCGTCTTCAGGATACTAAGAATGAAAATGTTAGAGCAAGGGCCAAAGTATCGTTATGATTTTTGTGATTTATTGTGATAATAATTTCCAAAGGGACTTTATCAATTTAGACTCGACCTCATCAGCACCAATATTACTCTAAAAATTTTTTTTGTTGCTTAGCAGGTATAAGGTAAGCTCGAATGACCTTAAATTGTGTTTCTTGAATTACTGACAACAGTGTATATTTTTTCATGTTTGTTTCATATTTTCAATATTGAGAACTGTTAATTCATAAACTACCACCTTCTTCATTAATGACATGGTTTGTCTACTAGGCAGAATTGATCTGTGTTTGACTTTGCTATAGATTGAAGTTAAATGTAGTTTCCTTGATCAACATTTTCCCAGTTTCATTTTCTCAAACTATCGCATTTATTAACACTTCCAGGTTTACAGATCTGAACTTGATGACACTGAGTGGGAGACCTGGAAGAAATCAGTCATCAGGAAGTCCTTGCTTTATAGTTTTACTGACAAATGTTTTGCTGGGAAAAATGAAATAAATAAAAATAATAAGCCTGCCAACACAGTTCACATTAGGGAGTATTCCCCCAGCCCTAAATTTGCAGCCAGATCTCAGTAAGATTATTAGCATCCCAATGTCATGGGTTATGACCTATCATGCATGCCTACTGGCTCAGTCCGTGCTGTGTGACAGCAGACAACACACCAGAACCTGAGTGAAATCCGGCTTCCTGTCCCCAGCAGAGGCCGAGCTTGCCAGCGCAGCGGCCCTGGCCACACGCAACGCGCAGACAGCGGAGCAGCGGCCTCCGTGCAGGACGCCCTCGTGAGACACCTGCTTCCGTCGCCCACGTGTCTCCAGAAACGGGAGCTGCAGGCCTTGCCTCTTCTTTTGCAGATCAACCCCACACACCCGCCCATCTTTCTCTCCAACTCCTCCTTCCCAACGGGCTGCCAGTGAATAACTAACACACACATTTCCGCTCTCTGGTCCCAGTGATTCCTTTGTTTAGCCATTCTGGGAACAGCGTTTCCAGCGGAAGCTGGCTGGTGTGTAATGGCATTGTGATCCCAGGGTGTGTGCAAAGCTTGCAGTATTTTGCTTTGTAACTCTTTTAGCTCCTATCAGGCTAAAAGCATAATGCCCCAAAGCCATGATTATGTGACTACTTTCCAGGGTTTCAAAAGAGAAACAAGCCGGGACCGGTGTGGCTCAGTGGATAGAGCGTCGGTCTGCGGACTGAAAGGTCCCGGGTTTGATTCCGGTCAAGGGCAAGTACCTTGGTTGCGGGCACATCCCCAGTGGGGGGTGTGCAAGAGGCAGCTGGTTGATGTTTCTCTCTCATCGATGTTTCTAACTCTGTCCCTCTCAATTCCTGTGTATAATCAATAAAACTATATTTAAAAAAAATAAGAGAAACAAAATGTAATGGTATTTGAGTGTCACCGAAACAGTAAGAAATGCAGAGTTCTGTTTCAACACCAGACGTTAGCTGGGCCCGGCACTAACAAGGTCCTTAAGCCTTGCTGTAAAGTTTACAGCTTGATTTACTCCAGTAGACTGGAACAGTTAAGAAACAATTTGCATCATAGCAGGGCAATGCACATCGGACAAGAATGGAAACTAAGCCATTATGGAGTCTGCTTAATGGAAATATGGGGTCAGAAAGAGTAACAGTCTCTGACACTGATAGCAGGCACGGGGAATATGCTGCTGACATGTGATTAGATTTAGCAAACAGTGTGAACCTGTGAGATTTGAGCAAAAAATCATATGCATTTTAATGTCGTTATATAGGGTTTCTTTTTTCTGTAAAAGCCACTGAAACCTTCATTTTGTTAAAAATTATGCTGACTGATGTAAAACATGGTTTCTGATAATACTGGGGTTAATTCAAAGTTCTTAAATTAATTTTATAGTGACTTTATCTTGTACAGCAAAAGTCACATTACTCTAAAATGTTGCCTGAGGTTTGTATCCAAATTTCTTTTTATTTTTTTTATTTTTTAAGTGGTCCTTTAAACTAAATAATAGGAATATACATCAACTAAACCTTGGAGTCCATAAGATTATGAGAAATTGTATCCTTCTATCAATAACTTCAGATATTTTTGCTCTACTGAGTATTTCTTGAAGTGTCTTATATAGCAATTTATGTTTGCTCTGAACTTCCCATTCAGTATTTTATATCTGAATAAATACTCCTGTCAATGATCACGATTCAAAGACGAAAGCCTGCGGTACAATGGGAACCTCGGGCTGCACAGAAAGCATGATCTATGGGAGCGTCGCTCAGAAGAATGGGAGTCAAGGCTAAGCGACTCTTCCTACAAACTAACAATCACTCCCAGCTTTAAAAATCTTTTTCAGAATACTTTGGGCTTAAACCAAATGCTAAATAATCAAATTTCAGAACCCCCCTCCCCAACCCAACAACTACCCTGGCAGACAGCATTTTTTCTGTCACTAGATGCCAGTTCATTCTGTGCTAATTGCTACAGGTCATATTTTCCATTTCTATTGCTCAAATGATCTTCACTAAGACGTTAACCGGTAATTCTGAAGGCCGGTAGCTAAACAGCTTCTTCTGAGAGCTGGCAGCGGGCACACAGAGCGGATTACTCCCAAAGTGGGCGTCCGTTTGCAGCCACTGGCATAAAGCACTCCTTCTATGACCCAACCCTACCAGTCGTGGGGCCAGTGCGGTTTCTCTTCTTTTTGGCCTTTTCCCAGAGAGGGGGCACTTCAGGCCCGCCTGCTCCCTCCCGGTCTGCCGGCTCCCGGGCCACTCCGTCAGCACGACAGCATTGCCCTCTCTTCGCTCAGTCACGTGTGTGCTCATTATACTGCCGTCTGCTGCTAGAGCGCTCCTATTAATTTTCCTTCTGATTTTAACAGCAATCTATCAATCATGCTGCCTTTCATGTGTGCCATCACCGCTGCCTGGGAATGGCGCTCCGGCGCTGTGTTCCTGGTGAAACTCGCCCACAGCAGGCAAACAGCATCCCTCTCCCTGGCGGGAGAGCAAGCCCGAGACTGAACACACTGAGCGGCTGCAGTGGTGCACACTGACCGCGGGGACATGGAGGGTGGGAGGCAGAGGGTGGAAGTAATGGCCTGGATGCCAGGCAGTGGGCAGAGAAGCAACCCGACCCCCACTCTAGTGCCGTGCACACCGGTAGTGCTGCATGAAGCAGGCCCTTTTGCTGGAAAGTTAGACAATGGTGCTAAGCGAGATAAATGTTTCCAGAAGCACTGGGTTCTGGGAAGTAAAGAATCGTAGAAAAGGTGTAAAAGTGGGTGCAGAGAGGCTTGTGTGCACACTGGACAGGGAGTCGGGGTCTGGCGCAGAGGTCCGGGGACAGTACTCACACAGCCTGCACTGGCGATCTGCCGGGGCTGCTGTCGCTCTCGGTGCTGTTGGCGTGCTCCACCGCCCCGTTGAGCTCTTCCCGCATGGCGCTGGCCAGGCCGCCGAGCGCGGGGTTGCCCAGGGAAGCGGTGGTGTACAGAGGTATGCTGTTCTCAGCCATGGAAGCCTGTCAGCAACCGAGAGAACAGTTAGGGGGCAGGCGCACAGGAGGGAGCGACCCGTGAAGAGAGCAGCAGCCACCCCGCTGCCGCTAACTGAGGCGTGGTGGGCACACTCAAGTTTCCGGTGACAAGGATTTTGCTTTAAAAGTAAGACTGTGACACACGCCCCAAGCTTAGTTTCAGAGAGCTCCCTGGGGGCTCAGACGCCCGCAGGGAGGGGCCTCCATCAGCCTTGCTGGGCAGAGTCACATGGTCCAAACAAGGCCATCTATCGATAATATGAGGTTTGTGTCTGATGCCTTTTTTCAAGAGCCAACTGAATATTTCCAGATCACAGGGAAATGTAATGGAATTTTCATTTCTTTATCCACTTTGATGACTCCAGTATTGGATATTAGAGATTTGATCACATTATTCTGGCTGCACAGCTCAAACTTATGAGAACTTCCATAAACATTACTTCATAGATCCTATAGAAAAGGAAGAGATTATAGAATTGGAATAAATTTTTATCTCCCACCCATCATTTCTGTTTAAATGGTTTTTTAATCTGTTTAGTGTAGTTTAAGAAAATGGTTGAAGGTAACACCCGCAAATCTTTCACTCTCAGACCAACCAATCACCTAGAATGTTAGGACTAAAAATAAATAGATGGATAGGCAGGCGGGTAGGTAGGTAGATGGATAGATAGATGGACAGATAGATGGATAGATAAATCTCTGCCAAAAGGAAGCTCTAAATTGTATTTCTTTGGGAACTTAAGTAGATCTATACTGAAGCTGACAAAGTCAGTCCAAAATGAGTGTCAGCAAAAAAGTGTGGAGATGAAAAAGCCACCCTGACCTTTCTGTGGAACCTGAGAGCGCTGCTGGGCTCTCCTGTCTCTGTTCCCTGGAAACGCCCCAGATGGCGCTCCCTGGTCATCTCACCTTAGACGGTTGCAACGCCGTCAAAGTGGGGCCATCGCCAGCGTGTATTTTAGCAGCTTCTTGAGTCAAAAACGGGGGAACAGGATCTAAATGTTTATGAGGAAGTACTCTTGGGGTCCTTTCTCCTTGGCTCTCAACGGGTTTGAGGGTGAGGCTGTTTCCAACTGGGACTGACGTCCGACAGTCACAGTGGTGAGAGGCGCCCAAAAGGCAAGCGTGCACTGACGCTCACACAGGAGGTCAGCGAGGAGAACCAGCCTCCCCGCAAACACCGCCAGCTGGCTGCGCAGGGAGCCCGGGGCCGCTCACACCAGAGCCGCTGGAACGCTCTTTGCTGAGTGAATTATCAAAGCGCCCCCCCGACAAGGTCAGAAACTGCTCATGCCTACACAGTGTTCCCCTTGTAGCTGACGCCGCCTCAGGGACAGCTGCATGGCCATTGTGTGATGGACCTGCTTATGTGCATGGTCCTGTGCACAGCACGCGGTTCACACCAAACGGCACCTCTGCCAAAAGCAGGACGGCGCCTGAGGAATCCTGCCGAAGCCCAGTGCCAGCGCCCGGCGTGAGAGCCTCGGGTCCTCGGGGGAAAGGCGTCTGTAAATATGAAGCTTACGGTTCCCTTAGTTACTTCACTGTTTCAAAGCACTGTTACATTTCTGTAGTGGATTCTGCTGTCCTCGTTCGTATGCCGAGCAGCACGCGTCAGTTATGTCACACCAGGGACCTATGCTTTCTACTTGTCGTGAGAAGGGCACTGATGGGGAGGAGGCTGCTGGTGGCGCTTTATTTAATTTGCACAGCAGACAGGTTTCCCGTGACACACCTACTGACCATGGGCCACCCAGACCGAGGAGGGCAAGACCGCCCCAACGAGAAGCGGCACTGATGGGCACACGCACTTCCTGATGGCGAAGGGTCCGGGGACGCAGCAGCACTGGGGGCTCGGCGCAAACGGGGGTACAGAGGAGGCGTGAAACCAGTGTGTGCAAGGTGAGGGGGCGCAGCTGGTTCTGGGACCACAGAGCATGCCAACAGCGGAGGGAGCCCAGAGCACAGAGGGCCGCTGCTTTTCCCCTTTCCGCCTCATGAATGTAAAATGTGCTTGTAATCGTAATACTATTCCAGACAGAGCAGAGCGGTCTTTAAATTCACAGCTCACAAGACTCCAGGGAAAGTGAGTCGCTAATGAATGGTATTTACAGGGGCGGCATCTGAGCGTGCTTTCATTTGCTTTTCTGAAGTTCCTGTGTAAACTACAGTAATTAAAAGAAATGCGGGTAGTTCCTCCTGGTGGGCTTGGTTCAGGCTAAGAATAAGTAAATGTAATCACTGAGGAGCTAAGGCAGTGCCTCGCCGCCATGTGGACAGTGTGCAGGCTGCCGTCCGTTCCTGGAGCTGGAGACCGGGGAGTGATTTGTGGGTGCAGAGTAGGTGCTCAATAAATACTGGATTTGTGAGCGGTGAAGCCAGGTCCCCATCACTGTCTCCTCTTTGACCCAGCCCTTCCCCATAATGCCAAGTGTCTCAACCACTGGTTCATTATTATCCCGTAAGGAACTTTTGCAAAACGTTTGCTCTGGAGGGGCACAGACATTGTAACAGCAGAGAACTGATTTCAGGGTGACCTGGGAACCCAGAATGCACGCTGCAAGGTCTTCACTGGCCTGTAGCTCCATCTATAGAACATGACAATCTAAAGTGACCAAGCCTCCCTGGGTCTGTGTTCCAGAACAGTCTAGGTAGATCAAGTTCAATCAGGACCCCTGGCCACAGGGACAGCCCACCTGGGAACTGCGGAGGGCCCCGGTCCGCCTTGGCTTACAAAGGACGAGGCGTGGGAAGTGAGGAGCCCAGGAGCGCAGAGGGGCACAAGGCGAGCGTTGCCCAGGAGCCGGTGGGTGCTGGGGTCTCCCTCCTGCTCAGCGGCCTCACCCCGCTCAGCGCTCAGGGCCCATCTGCGGAGGAGGGTGCCCTGTGCCTTGGTGGCTCAGCCACCAGCGGAAGGAGTTTATTCAGCACACCCCTCCCTCACACACCACAACTTCCTGCCCCGCGCCCGCCCCGCAGAGGGAAGAGGGAAACGGGCTGGAAAAGGAGAAGTGAAAAGCCGGCTTTCTCCGGGAGCCTGAACAATAGGAGGCACGTGACGGCGGCCTATCGCCAGCACATTAATAGCTGTGCTGCAGTAATTACACTTGTGGTATTTTTGCCTCAAGTGAAATTCTGAAATAAGAGGATGGAAATTATGATACCGCTGATAAATATTAATAAGTGAACTTTTAATTTTTTTGCCACAATATTCAAAATGCTAAGCATCCTGCGAACGCTGAAGCAGCCGATGTGTTTGCCTCCAGGGAGGACGATGCTTTGTGCACTTAAGAAAAAAGTTTAACGGAATTAAAATTTAATATCTAATTAGAGTGAGGCTAATATATTTTGAGATGAGCGGGGAGGCACTGCCCTGCGCACGCTCGGGCCGGCCATCGATCTTACCTGCAAAGCCGCGTTGAGAGGCGTGCAGTAGGCGTGGCTGCTCTGCATGTTTTTGATGAGGGAAGGGTTACTGCACAAGAGAAAGAAAACTCCAGTTAAATGCAATCACCCCGAGTTCCTGGCTGTTTTGTTCAAGCTTTCTGGCATCCTTCCAGAACAGAAACATCCCGCCATCACCGGAGAGGGCTTTCTCCCAGCTCCTGGCTTCCCTGGGCTGGGAACTCCTCTGCGAACAGCTTTTGCTATTCTCGGAAACTGGGTGTAAACTCAGCTTAGGTAATGGGTACTCCCTCCACTGATGAATTTCTAAGCCACAAATACTGGCCTCTGCCAGTTTGATAAGCTGTCATTTGACAGAGCAGAGCCCTGGGGCATGGGCTGGGCCGGTGCCCTTCGCCTCCGGGAGGGTGCCCCTGGCCTCCAGCCCCGAGCTGCGGAGTGGAGGCCGGTGAAGGGCTCGGGCTCCTGGGCTGGCCTCAGAGCAAGCAGGTCCCCCAGGGAAACGGAGGGAAGGCGGGGCTGGGAGAGGGTCACTGCCGCAGGCCCAGGAGATGTTTGATGCTGGCTGGGTGCAGTCACTGAAGACAGATACTATTGTAATAAGCCTCTGACCTGGCAGAGTGCAAGCATTAAATGTCACAGAGGAGATGCTGTGGGAAGGAGAGGCTCCGGTAAGAAGCACCTCCACTCACTGGGGCCAGCAGAGGAAGGATACACACTGCTATCCATTTCTTTCCTAAGCTCGGAGCATTTTAATCAAACATCCACTACATTTATATTATTATTCCGAGTAAGCAAAAACTGGAAGAAATTTACCCAAGTCCAAATTTAACTCTAAATAAAAGTTCCCTTTTAACTTGGAGGGATTAGGAGTCACACAGAAGTATTTAGTGATAGGGCCCCTGTTAGCTGCTGAGTCAAAAGGTGACCAGTATTTGCATTAAAGACATCAAAAAAGCATTGCTCAAGCACTGGTGTTCCAGGAGAATCGAGAGGATGTGCAGGTCACGCGGTTCAGCTCCTGGAGCAGGTGGTGGCACAGCCACCCGGTGAGATGCGAGACTACATGGATGAGTCCACCATGCAAAGCCAAAGCAACAGCAGAAAACAAAAAACAAAAGCAAGTTAAAGGCTCTTACTGTGCGACAAGCTCGTCAGAGTTTTCATCGGGGCAGTATTTGCGAGGACGGCCTCGTTGAATATGGCGGCCACGTTTAAACTCTTCATCATCAACTGTCCAAAAGGACCCACACTCATCCTCTACTCTGATAAAGCACTTATGCAGTGAGAGGTTGGTGCGAATGGCACCCTGGGGTAGGAGCAGCAGCAAAGGAGATGAAGTGGCAACAAAGGGAGACGGGGTTGGGGGGCGGAACAGACATCCAATACAGGGAACAGGAAAAAGAAAATAAAATGCAATAAGCATAAGCAAATGGTTTGTGAGGGTTAATATGCATTGCCACCTAAAAGCTACTAGCATGTGATGCAACAAAGACTGGCAAGCAGGGCGGGGGCGGCGGGTGTACAACAGGAGGGATGGAATGCTTTTTTGCTTCCCTTAACTGAGACGACGTGAAACCAGTTCTCTGGTCTAACACCATCTAGCAGCCAAAGCCTCTACGTCACACTTGTTAGCACAATCCAAGCTGGGCTGAGAAGTTCAAACGTGGTGGACGTACCCACTGATCTTTTGTGGCCTTCGTTTTTGGAACTCTACTTCATCCACTGTCCATACCGCCCCTTTAACGTTCTCTACTCGCACAAAACACTTGTGGAGACTAAGATTATGACGCACTGCATTCTGCAGCAAGTATAAAAGAGAGAACATTGACATTTTCTATGAGAAAAGACTCTAAAAACAGCAGTAAATTCAGCCTAACAGCCCACATTTGTAAAACCATCCCCAAGAGCTATAGTTACCACCCCCAGGGACCACCTTCTTGTGGTCAGGAGTGCCTTTTCCAAAGGCAAAGGTAAAAAACCAAAACCATGCATTAATTGTACTTTGGCATCTCAGGCTAGCCTCTGATCATAGTGATCCGGAAGAAAAAAATTATTATGCATATAAGCCGTTAATAGATTTCACAGTAAAAATCTGAAAACATTGTTCATGTGACTTCAAAATAAGGAAGTGTGAGCAGCGTACAACGGTCCCTTTAAACTCACTGGCCTCCCGTGACAGGGCAGATTGTTTCTATTTTCTAAACCAGGAAAGTCGAAGACTCAATTATTGTTGTTTGATACATTTTGTTCTTGTTCTTTTTGTTTAAGTTTTGGCTTTAAAATCTTCTATGTGTTTTCTCAGCTTAATTAGGAATAAGTCTAAATTGAGTTTCACCACTGAGTGTCCCTCCTGGGGCTGACAGGAGTGGGGATCGGGGGTGAAAGAACCCCCAAAGGATCAGCATCCATCATCAAGATATGTCTTACCTTCCGGAATCTACATAGAAATTGGCTCTTACTATGGGCACCTTAATTAACTGAGGAGATGCCAAAGGAACATATGAGTAGAATAATTCTCAATGGGAAAATGATGGTATTCCAACATTGACATTTCTACAGACACGTTTCTTTCTTATGGCTAAAACAAGTCATTCTGCCCATTCTCCCAGCAGAGAACCCGACACCTCTAGAAATCTAGCAGAAAGGAGGGCCCCAGTGAGCAGGGGAGAGCTTTCAACCTCTCTCCCTTGAACATCAGGGAAGCCACAGCCCTTTGGTGCGGGGATCATGTGGCCTCCTTTCTCTAGTCCTCCTGCTGAACTTGCTGATCTAGACTCAGAATTAGACATGAGGACATTGCAGAGAGACCATGTCATTACTCAAAGCTTTCTTCTTATAGGGAATATGGAGGTGGCACTTGGGCGAGATGCCGATGCCTGCATCAGGCCTCATGTACACTGCCCACAGCCCTTAACTCCAATACCGCAGCTGCGGCTCAAACACTGCCCCTCCGCTTCTAATACCTGCAATAGCCCTCTCTGCAGTATCCTGCAAATGATAAATCTTAATAACCGCCACTGGTGACTCTGAGGAGTCCAATGAGATGATGATGGATTTTTTCTTTCCTGATATGGAATGTTTAGAAGATAATGAGGCTAGTTACACTACAAGCCTGATGAACTGCTCACAAGGAGCATCCCAGGAAGGAGCCTTGGAGAATGTCAGTGTAACGGCACAGATGCAAGCACCCAGGGACGGCAAAGGGAGCCCTTGCATCAAAAAAAAGCACAACAAAATGTTTGACAGGTCATAATTGTACTAGGCAAGACAACTTTTTTGTATATAAACTGTAGCCTGGTCTCTAAATAAACACATTTTTCAAGGATGCTAAGCATCTACTGTTCTCACCTAGAACAACACTGAGGAAGTTGAAATAAATAAATAAACCCACATTTCCTTAAAAAACAGCCCAGACAGGGCCTGGACACACGTAGGAGACATCAGTGGAAAGAGTCATCTGTGGCGGGGACTGGATCTACAGAGCCGTGTCTGCTGGAAGGACTGCTAGAGGTGAGTGCAACCAGAGGCAGGTCAGCAAAGACGTAAAGTCAAAACCTAAGCTTCATTTTTAATGATGTTGCACATCTAAGCAAAAGCAACAACAAAAAACCCACAAGTTTCCCCAAAAGCTGAGTCAGCCATTTTCGGGGGTCAAGATCTTCTCTGGGCATTTCATGTTTTGTCTAAGATCATAATACAAATGAGGACACGGACAGAAAATTGTACGTATTGGTGGGTCACTAAGAACTGGGAATATTTATATAAACATCACTTTTTCCTACAGTTTGCAAAAATGAAAAAGTTAAATCTAAAGATCTGAGCTTAAATATCACTCACAACTGATACTTAGTTTTAAATGTTATTATTTGTTATTTAGAAAAGGTAATTTGAAGAAAATGTCTGTTTCAGGCTCTACTTCCTAAATTTAGAAAAACATTCATAGCTAAACATCCTTTGCATTTTACCTCCCAAGGCAGGCGGAGGAAGAGGGTAGGATTTTGAACACAGGTTCCCTTTAGCGCCCATGAGTCTTAATGGAAATAATAAAGATGACTTGGGCCACATCAGATAGCCAAGGCTCTGTAAACTTGAAGAACTAATCCTATGGTTACATATGTTTTCTTTTATAATGCTAATTTATCAAGCATGTAACGGAGGTAGTATGATTTCTGTTTTTGCTTGTTTTTCTCTCATAAAATTAAGAAAGTAGCAGGGAAGACATTTATTTCAAGCAAAGCAAGTTTTCCTTGCTCCCCATAATAAATCCCTATCATATTTTAAACAATGACATGTAAAATATCCTAAAATATTTTCATTTTAAATGTACCTAAATGTTTTGGCATTTAGGGATTATAAGAATTCTAGGTAGTAAAAATGTAAACAAACAAAAACCACACAAAGAAACCCCCAAACACTAACAATACATCAACCCACAAATATCATATTATAGGTGTCTTTTTCTATAGCAAAAATATTAGATACCAAGAAATTGAAAGTGGGAAGTCTAAAATTTTGTGAGGGCTTAATTTAACACAACTGAATAAATACTAATGGAATCTATGAACCAACTGCTGAACTGAAAATGAGGTATGTCATATGACTTCATGCTTTGTTTGGGGGTATCCACATGAACCTATGGAATTAGACCTGTTTTAAAGCAAATGGATTACAGTGAAGTTACATAATTCAGAAGTTACTTTGCTTTTCCAGAGTAACAATGAATCTTTAACAACTTAAAAAACAAAAAAAATTAATAAAGAATACATTGTGTTCTCTTGCAATAGCTCCCATACATAATGCTAGTACTTGGATTGCAAACCTTCCCCCAGTAACTGGGTTAAGATATTATCCAACCAATGAAAGTTATGTCAAGTTTATCTGGTCATTTCTCCAGATTCCTAATGGCATTAAAAAATGTTATCTCTGCAAACACTGGTGGTGGCTAAAGACCAAAAGGCATGGAGTTTGTATGGGTAACGGGACAACCTCAGAACGTGGGCAACAGTGCTCCCTGCTCCTTATCCCTACAGATTCCAACCAAAGGAGGTGCTGTTATTGGCTGGTCCATCCGACCCTTGGGACACTTGTTTTTCTCTCATAAAATTAAGAAAGTAGCAAGGAAGACATTTATTTCAAGCAAAGCAAGTTTTCCTTGCTCCCCATAATAAATCCCTATCATATTTTAAACAATGACATGTAAAATATCCTAAAATATTTTTTTTTCAACCACAATGGAGTCTTCAACCACAATGGAACTGTTTTCTCAATCAAATAGGCCTATAAATTAGATTCTTTCAGTGGACCCAAACAATGTAAATGTAACTTACAATAACTGCATTTTCTCAACAATAAACTCTTCATAAATGGCAAGATGCAAGACTACACAGGCTTACCTTCCACGTGGCTGCGTTGCGCCGGAAGTAAGCAAACATTCGTGTGAACCAGTTATAGATTTCGTTTAGTGTTAGCTGCTTTTCTGGAGACTCGAGAATGGCCTGGGAAGCCAAAATAACAGAGAAAGATAATTTATGACCAAATCAGCAGAATCATTATACAGTTTCTTGAAAATATAAAATAACCATGATTCAGAGCTAAATCCTAAGAAAGGTTTCCAAAATGATATAAGATTAATGGTTGTATTTAACAGTTCAATAGCAAAATTCAAAATGAAATTATGTAATTGTTTTGAGTTTTTATTTCTGTTTCTGTACAGAAATATTAATTTATTAGTCATTCATAAAGCAGAATCAAAGAGAAATGCAAAACATTTCACTAGCTGATTAAAGCTCAGTAATTATTTAGAGCTCAGATTAATTCTGGGATCAGAGATTACTGTGGCTTGTGATAATTGACTTGCCATCTTTAAACAGGCTCATTTTCACTGTTGTGTGAAATGAATTTCCTAATAATCACATCGTATTGTAATACTCAATCAAAAGCAATTATGTTATATATTGCAGTTTTAAAAAACCTTATAGTCAAGGTTTTAGCATGCCTGCATACTAAGCGGTTTTAAATCTACTTCATCAGTATGATACCTCCATGTACACACACGCCTTTTGATATAATTTCATATACTGTGTTATTTACTTACCTGCCTAATTAAAGATGCATATGTAAATGGTGGTCTAACTTCTGCATTCTTATAAAATTCTTGGTTCTGCGCAATATCTGCTAAATAAGAGCATTGTCCTGTTAGTGGTCACCTCTAAAAAAGAAGTTGGTCTGCAAGAAGTCACGTGCAGTTCTGCACAAGGCACGATGGCGTCTCTACCTGAGGAAATGGGCACGTTGTACTTGTCCGAGTAGCGCCTGCGGATGGGCCCCACGGTGTGCATGCTGGTGGTGGTGATGACGGAGGCGCCCTGGGTGGCGGGCGTGAGGGGCGCGGTGGGCGTGGTGGGCGTGTGGGGTAAGCTCTGCGGGGAGGCCTCCGGCGCGGACTTGGAGAGCGTGACGCTGGACACCAGGTTCAGCTGTGGGGAGAGAGAGCCCTTACCCTCCGGCCGGCGCCCGGCATCCTGCTTCTTTCAGGGGTTCTGGTCCCTGAAGCGTGAGGGGACCCACGGAATCCACGTTCACCCAGCAGCTGGCTGGGGCGCCCTGAGCTCCCCACCAGGACTGCCTGCAGTGCGGCACCGTGAGGAGCTGCCTCTACTGACTTTTTAATAAAATACTTCCATTTTAATCAACTTAACTATAAATAGCCAGGTATAACCCGGGCTTCCAGGCTGCTACGCTTCGGGATGAAGATGGGCACACGGGCACAGCCAGGCACTGCCGGTGCCGACGGCCACCCGAGGCCTCCTGCTCAGTAAGAACATGGCCTCTGAGAGACAGGGAACGGTAACTTCCTGATTTTTCCCCCTTCAGGTTTCCCATGTTCACCAATAGAGGACTGGAGTGATCTTCTTCGTCACGTGAGAAAATGAGTACTACTTGTTTGAAGCAATACAGAGGAAAAGCAACAGTGCTGCTTTGGTGCGAGTGCTCACCCCTGGCCCTTTGTGGGTTAGGGACGTCTGTTGGTAAAGCAATCCGCAGGCGCTCAAGTAGCAGTACTTTACTTTCTTTCTTTGTCTCTGTCAATGTCACTTTCACCCTGAAGCACTTCTCTTATTAACACCAGACAAACAGGCTTAACCCCCTTTTCCAAAAATTACTGTTACAGAAATATTAAAACTGGCTGTGCTGGAGAACTTGATCATTCTCAGCATATTTATTACAGTTTACGCAGAACTGCTAGCTCAGACACATACAGTTGGCCCACATCCAAGAAACTTCAGCAGGAAAGAGTAGGAAACCATTATTTCCAGTCACAGACAGAGCAGGCCTGCTCACCGCCCCGCAGCCCTACGCACAGCGTTGTTTGTGGAAGGCACTCAAGATGCGACTCCTCTGAGGTCACAACCAAGGAACTTACTGAAAGAGTGTCAATTACTGAGACGACTCAACCTTGCTCATACTCTAGCAATGGAAAAGGCCCCGAGAAACTTCTGTCTAACTCGCTTAGAGTAATTCCATAAAAAGGAAAGTAAATCTGAAGAAGAGAAAGAACAAACAGCCTTGGGAAAGTATTAACGGAAACGTGTGAACGTGATGCTGGGGATGGAATGCGGGCTGCAAGCTTGTAGCTGTGCTTCTTTTTCACCCCCTTTCCTCCAGTTCTGGCTCAGCCAACCGGAGCCACCGCACAGCGACCCCGGCCGGAGGCGCTGGCTGCGGAGGCCGCCTGCGCCGAGGGCTGGGCACGCGGGCCGTGCGGGCGCTCAGTGCCGGACACCGGGCTTCCTGGCACACATCTGCAAACTAAGCGCTGGCAGCTCGAGGCGGCAGCCCTGGGAGGGAGCGGGAGGGAGGTGGGGTGACGCCTTCCCCACAGCAGACCTTCATCATGGCCAGGGGCACAAACCAGAGGCATCAGCCCCACCCGAGGGGATGAGCGCAGGGCGGCGAAGCTCTCAGAGACAGGCCTGCGTGCTGGGCACAGCCAGCACCGCCAGTCACCGGCGCCCGTGTAAGAAGCAGGTGGCACCACCTGCCCCGTGTTGGTCTCACTTCGTTTTTTCACCATCACTAATTCCTGAGCTGTTATTGCTCATGCTGCACGGTAAGCAAACCGAGGCTCGGGAGAGGTTAGGTAACGCCCAAATTCACAGCTGGGCTGTCCACAGGCACCTGTGACTGAACACGAAGACACAACCAGTTTCTCGGAGGGAGGCTCTGGGAGGGCGCAGGGCCCGGCACCAGCTTCTAAAGGCAGGCAGCCACACTGTGGGCAGCCAGGCTCTGGGAGCGGAGCGGACAGAGGGAGCTGCAGGCGCCAAGGCAGCTCCGGAGGCAGGCGGGCCCCACAGGCCCGGGCGCTGCTCCCCGGCTTCTGTCCGCGCGGCACATTACCCCAAACACAGCCTCTCTTAAGCGGTGACAGAGTTGTAATGTAAATATAACATCCTTAAAAAATATGCATGCTCCTTCCTAGTTTTTGGAGAAGATCTCCAAGTCCACTGGGTTCTAGTCTAATTGTCCAAACCCAGGCTCACATAGACATTCCGGGAGGCGAGCATTTCGGGGGCTCACATCCGGGTAACAGACAGAGCACACGGAGCAAGGCCCCCAAATGTGGACAGCAGTGACTCGCAGCTCTGGCACAGGCCTCACACGCGGCCGTTTCTCCCAGGAAGACGGCGGGAACAGCTCCCCACGAGGGGAGGGAGCGGAGCTGGGGAGCGCTGAGCAGCAGGAGCAGGTGCACAGCCACTCCGCCAGGAGGGCAGCGCGGGCGGCCCAGGCGTGACAAATGACACGGGACCCACACCCACCGCTGGCTGTCTCTAACAAGCCACGGAGGAAGCGGCCAATCTCGGCTAATTACAGATAAAAATGTATTGTAAGGACTCTAATTAGGGGACTCGGATGGAGGTGATCTAATGATTAAATGCCGCATCGAGCGACCTGCCATCATGTGCAGTGCTGCGGGCGGCCTGGAATGTTTTGTGAGACAGTCATTCTGTTTCAAGGAGGGGCGGCCGTCGTATTTGTAGTGATGGCTATGAGGTAAACCAATTAAAACACAGTTCCTGGAGGAAGAGGGTGGCGGAGAGCAGCTGTGGCCATTCCAACGCCAGTGCCAAGTCTCTACAGAGGGGCTGCAGTCAAGTGGAAAATGTCTGCCTGACCTCTGCCCTCGCTATTAATTTGCAGGAAAACTAATGACACATATACATATTCCCACAAAATTGTTCTAATTGCTAATTTGCCGAAGGAGCCAAGATTCCAAATTAGACACGACTGCAGCCCGCAAGGGGAGGGCGCGGACGCTGAGGGCGCAGACGCAGGCTGCCTCTCAGAGTCTCTGAGCCGAACCAACAAGTTAAGGAAGCATCAGCCTTGTCAACCGCAGCCCAGCGCGCTTAACTTTCCAGGGTCCCATCTCACAGGCTTGTCTGGGAGGGGCCAGGGAGGGCCGGCCATGGGGCGGGCAGGCGAGGCAGGGCTCCAGCGAGCTGCACCCGAGGCCTGCGCCCCGCCCCGAGGACAGTGAAGCGCAGGTGGCACCCTGAATCGTTAACTATAATAAATCTTAACATGCCCCTCAACAGGGACGAAAGCCTCTGCACCGTGTTTCTGACGGCAGTCCCGCTTCAAAGGGCGCTCTCCGGGCGCCGGGCGGAAGGAGCTGGCCTGGGAGGGCTTCTTCTCCCATTTTTCTTACTGTGTTCACTTTCTATTTAAAAAGAAGTTGCTATGTTTAGAGAAGTTAGTAACGCTGGTATTTTCTACATGGCAAGTTTCCATCATGTGACGATTTGGGCAAAGATAATCTCTTTGAAACTCTGGCCAGAAGTTAAATTCCTCTGTCACTAGCGCTGCAGGCTGTGTTTTAGTCCTGCGCTCCAGCGTGGCTGCGGGCGGCCTGGAATCCCAGCCGAGGCGGCAGCGGTCTCGGCTACCTCAGTCTGCTCGGCCCTTCGCAGAAAACCCATCTTTACTTTTTAAAACAGTAACCTCGTCTCTCTTTTAAAGATGGTGAGTCATTCGTATTAAAAACAAAGAAAAAAAACGAACAAGCCGCTGAAGCAGAGCCGGACAGAGACAGACTTGTCGAGCTCCCATAGGCCTTGTCGGTATTTTTGTTTATGCTCTTGTCTCACATGAGAACAGACTCTGAGAACAAAAGACAAAGCTGAAACCAAACACATAAACACAAGGGACTTGCTGCTGGGGTTAGGGGCGGGGGGAGGTCAGGGGTCAGGAGGGGGGGCCTTCCAGGCCCCCAGAACTCGTGTTTTCCGCTGTTGGGCGTACTGGCTTGAGCGGGGCCCAGTCCTGCATGGAGTTTCCCTACAGGAATCCTGCGTGTTGCTTCAGAGAAGGCTTCCTGAGGCTGAAGGACCCCCAGGCTGGGGAGGCTGGGATGGGATGGCAGCGGAGGTTTTGTTCCCAGCCCTGTCTTCCCCCCGGGCCCTGCCATGCCCTGGTTCCGCCTTGGTGCCGGGGCTGGAGTGCTGGAGTCCCTGACCGGCCCCGGAGAGCCGCTCGGAGCGGGAGCGGGAGTGGGAGTGGGAGTGGGAGGGACCCGTGAGGAGGTGCAGAGCATGGCCTGCGTGTGCTGCTGTCCGCACACAGCCTGGCTGTGGGCTGAAGGCTGGACCTCTTCTTTCAGAGCTAAAGTCCGCTCCAGGCAGGGCTACTCCTCAGCTCCCCACTGCTCCTCCTCCCCTTCCGCACACAGGCCGTGCCCCGCTCCCAGCCAGGCCACACTGTCTAGGAGCTGCTGCACTACAATCCGAGAAGCTCCAGCAGCTCGATGGAGTGGAAGGGGGACTGGTTGGAAGACTCACCACCAAACGGCCCAGTGAGAAGCAGTGCCTACGGCAAAGCCTTCTACCACTCAGTCACTAAGAATTTAAAAATAAACATCAAGTCCCTTTTAAACAGAAATGGAGAGAAAATTCATAACCACACTGGCAAGGCTATAATGTCTAAGTCCCCATCTATGATTAGATTTGAAACCTGGCGATTGCTTATTTCAAATCAAAGATTCAGGAAGAATATGCATTGGAACATACACTGTGTTTTCTACTATTTAAGGTGAAATAAATGAATGGCCAGCAACAGGGACTGTCCCCATGTTAGACTCGATCATCACTCAGCTCTGTCACCAAAGTGGGAAAAGTCAAGGGCTTGCTGGGTGTATGTGCTTTTTCTTTTTGGGAAGTAAAAACTTATGCAAAACATGACACGTCTATCTTTTCTAATTAATTTCCCAATGCCTCACCTATACATATTTAATAATTCCCGATTTATAAGACGGTATCTGTAATGAAATTTTCTATTTTCCAATAAATGAAAAGAAGCAGGTTCACTCCAGTGACAGTGTCACACAGTATCTGCTAGTCAGGCACCAATTTCTACTTCTTACATGTAAGTTAAAGGATAAGGAATTTATAATGCTGCCTGTGAAGGGAACCACTTTTCATACACAAATGTGATCTTTTTATTTTTCAAAGGGTAATACAACAGTACATTTACATAAACTAATCCAAACAATCTGTGTGTTTGACAATGGCAAGCCTCACACAGACGCCTATTGTTGGTTTACATCTTGGAGCTCTTTATGCCGGCGTGTCGCGCTGCTCGAGCTGTCAAAGGTTTGACTTGGGCTCTAAATAAATGGTATGGAAGTGCTGCGCGGCGATATTGGACTTCTTTGCAAAAGAAAACCTGCTGTGTATGAATTCAAAAGCTATTAATTTTTCAGTCAAAAATATTCGTGCCTATTTCTTTTAATAAAGAAATACTGTGCTGAGCCACTAAGAGATAATGTTGACTAGTGGTAGAGAATTTTCAATAGAGCAGTTAAAAATAAATTTAGTAGGAGGTCTGCTTCAGAGTTATAATTTTCTAGAATGTAACACATTTTTTAACACTAATAGAGGCGAACTTCCTGTGCCTTCTCCAGGACTGCTCTTCCCTGTCTGCTGGCTGCTCCCCACTGTCCTCCCGGAGAGTCCCGGCCTTCTGGGGCCTCCCTGGCGTCTGGGCTCTGGCCGTGCCTTCTCCAGTTGACCCCCTCCTCCGCCCCCAGAAGCCTCCTGATCCAGAATGGGTCCATTTCCGGAATCCAAACATGCTGCACCCTTGTCTGTAAGTGGAAGATAGTATCACTGCCCCTTGTTGCTAGGGTTACAGACACACACCTTTCAGCCTGGGAGGAACCACTTCCCTCCAAACGAAACCACAGGAACACTCGCAGGTGGAAGGTGGCCATGGCCCTGAGAAGCGGCCGGCCCCTGGAGAAGCAGGCATTGGGGGTCTCAGCACTGCTCAGCCAGCTCCTGTCCTTCCCAGGGTCCTGAGTAAAAGGAGGGACGGGGCCGCCCCTGTGGCGGTGAACCTATGAACCAGGAGGTCCCAGTTTGACTCCCGGTCAGGGCATATGCCTGGGATACAGGCTCCACCCCCAGTAGGGGGTGTGTAGGAGGCAGCAGATCAATGATTCTCATCACTGATGTTTCTCTCTTTCCCTCTCCTTTCCTCTCTGAAATAAAAAAATAATAAAAAATAAAAAAATGTAAAGGGGGATTGACAGAAATAGCAAGCATAGCACAGGTGACTACTGATTCCACCACACACCGAATGACCCGTCTCCCCGCCCCCTTTCTTTTTGGTAGCCGCACGCTCAGTCCCATCGCCATTTACTGCAAATACATGGGAACTAAGGCTCCTTCCAAGCAAAAATGGATGTGCAAAGTGTTTAATGATTTTTATGTCCTATATCTCAGTAATGTGCTCTGTTTCAGACATTAATTTTGTCTGCCAACTGCGTCCTGGCAGGCTACCATATTTGCTGGTTAATAGTCTGACTCCGTTTTATTTCTATCACCATAAATCATACATATATGGGTGTGTGTTTGCTTTATTTATAGAAAAAAATCAGTCCAAACAGATAAACCAATACTTTGTCATTATGCTGCATCATTGCATGTTGATTAAAATTGCTGGTACTAACTATAGATTGTCAACGCTCAATTAATTTTCACACAGTGACTCCGTACAAAATCAAATAAAGGCAGTGTACCTTTAAATTTTACAAATCTTAAAAATCAAGGAGCAAAGCAACTCTATTTTGATAATCAGTTGAAGGTGCTAGGAGATTTTTAGAAATACAAGTATATGAGAATTACAACTACTGAAGAGATCAATTTAGCGTAAGGAACCAGGCCCAAACCAGGAGCTGGGGAGACCATCTTTCTGTTGGATGGCACTTCCCGAGGTCAAGTGAAAGGAAGGGGCAAGAAGCGAGACGCCTAGAGCTGCCATGATTCAGAGCCGAGCTTGGTCTCCTGCCTGGGAAGGAGCCCACGTCACCTGGAGGCCCCCCAGTTTCACCTCCGTCACACTCACACTCACGGTGCTCAGCTTCCCGAGGCTGCGAGGCCTTGCTCTGCCTCCGTGGTCTGTCTTCTCCCTGCTTCGCCTTTCAGAGTCTTTCTTTTCTCTCCCAGTGAGTTTGCATTGTCTATTTTAGCAGCTTAGTGTAGCATCCACCATCTGTCCCAAAAGGGCCTGGCTGCTCGGGCCTCAGGAGCAGCTCTGGGCCGGTGCACCCTGTGTCTCCCTAGGTACCTCCTCAGACAGGTTACAGAAGCAGCCGGCTCACTTCAGGCCTTCCCTATCACCGCAGCCGGCTCACTTCAGGCCTTCCCTATCACCGCAGCCGGCTCACTGCGGGCCTTCCCTATCACCGCAGCCGGCTCACTTCAGGCCTTCCCTATCACCGCAGCCGGCTCACTGCGGGCCTTCCCTATGCACTGCAGCCGGCTCACTGCGGGCCTTCCCTATGCACTGCAGCCGGCTCACTTCAGGCCTTCCCTATCACCGCAGCCGGCTCACTGCGGGCCTTCCCTATGCACCGCAGCCGGCTCACTGCGGGCCTTCCCTATGCACCGCAGCCGGCTCACTGCGGGCCTTCCCTATGCACCGCAGCCGGCTCACTGCGGGCCTTCCCTATGCACCGCAGCCGGCTCACTGCGGGCCTTCCCTATCACCGCAGCCGGCTCACTGCGGGCCTTCCCTATGCACCGCAGCCGGCTCACTGCGGGCCTTCCCTATGCACCGCAGCCGGCTCACTGCGGGCCTTCCCTATGCACCGCAGCCGGCTCACTGCGGGCCTTCCCTACGCACCACAGCCGGCTCACTGCGGGCCTTCCCTATGCACCGCAGCCGGCTCACTGCGGGCCTTCCCTAAGCACCGCAGCCGGCTCACTGCGGGCCTTCCCTATGCACCGCAGCCGGCTCACTGCGGGCCTTCCCTATGCACCGCAGCCGGCTCACTGCGGGCCTTCCCTATGCACCGCAGCCGGCTCACTGCGGGCCTTCCCTAAGCACCGCAGCCGGCTCACTGCGGGCCTTCCCTATGCACCGCAGCTGGGTGGCTGTGCTCTGCCTTGGGTTGGGGTGGGGATGCCAACGAGAAGGCTGCCAGCTCCCCGTGTGCAGCGCAGTACTCACGGGCTGCGGGGCGGCTTTGGGCTCCGTGGACTTCACGTGCAGGTGGGTCATCATGGCTTGCAGGCGTTCTTTGTCTTTTGCAAGCTGGCAGGGAGAAAAGGCTCTGTTATTTCTTTAAGTATAGATTTGAATGCACTGTTACTATTACATATCATTATAGCCAAAACAATACACATTCCAAATTGAACTATGGCATCATCACACATGACAAAATATTTTCCCCCGATTAATCATTTTGAAATCTACGTGACCAGTGCCAAACTCAAGCACTGAGGTGTCGGTGTGGGTTTCCCAGCACAAGATACATTAGCCTTTAACTGGAAGCTCCAGACCGGCTGGCACCAGGAGTCGCATGTGACACAGACAGCGAGAAGACAAAAGCGTGAATCATGCCTATTAACCACCTTACTCAGGAGGAAGCCGAAAGAAAATGAGCCAGGTAGCTAACACTCATCAGCTCGTGTGCTGCTGTGGGGAAACTCCTAGACAGACGGTGCATTGATGCCGAATGAGCTCCACCTTCCCGGGCAGGGAGGCCCAGAGGAAGGCCTGGCCGCAGCCTCATGGCAGGCCAGACGGAGGGCCGCCGCGTCACAGGTGCCCATTTGCAATGAACACAGGGTAACTTGCCCAGTTACTCAGTAAGCACCTCCACCCTGTGCTGGTCTCTCATCTAACATACCGAAACCTCCTAACCCTACAGAGCATTACCTTCTGAGGCACAGGGGTTCTAATCTGCTGTATGTGCCAGGAACTCAAAATACTGATTTTTGGATGTTACTTGCTTTATGCGTGCCTTGCACTGTTTTAACATGGTATTTTTGATAGTTCAAGACAGCTGAGGATAGGGGACATGTAATAATTAACTCTGAAATAAGTGGGAAGTGTATCCTCAAAAGGTGATGGTATTGTTAATAGAACAGCTGTGGAATTTTGGGAAAATGCATAAGAGAGTGATGAGAGGGAGAAGGGAGAAGAAGAGGAAAAGAGGGAGGGAGAAACACAAAATTGAGGAGGGATTCATTTCTTCCATGTCACATAACTAACCTTAAATCAATTATGTCTTATAAGGCTAAAGTTATTCCAAAATAACAATCAAGTAAGACATTTTTAGATAGGGGCACTTCTAGGGGAGAAAGCAGAGGAAGGGAGAGGGTATACCAGCAAGAGAAAAAGGCCCCAATAATCCTACTGGATGCTGGCTGGCTCAGTCTTGGGCCGTATCACATTTGATTTTTTTTCTTCTTATTCCCTTGTGGTTCAGGGAGGACTAAATGCGGAGGGGGTGAGGGGGTTGGGGGGGGTGAGGGGGCGGAGGGAGAGAGAGAAGAGCCCTACAGAGCTAGCTTTATCTTCCAACAAACAGGAAATGAAAATGATACCATATTAGGAGCCACTTTATATTATTCATCTTCTGTTCTTTAGTAAGTTATTGAACAGCCAAACAAAAAGATGCTCTCAACACAAAACATAATGCTAAAGGAATTTAGTTTTCCAAGTGGCTCAGTTAGAACAATTAAAATGTTGGCAATGGCATTTTTCTACAGTTTTTTTGTGTGTGTTTTTAATGTGAGTATTCTAAATTTTTAGATGTTAAAAGTTAAACATTCTTAATTTAAAAAAAATGTTTTGTTTTAAAATTATAATGGGCAGAAAGAAAAACAAGTAGTGTGTCATAGTGAATGCTACAAATTAAAGGGTGAGTGGTGATGCTGCAGTCCGATGAATATTAACTGTGACTTAATTTGGGGGTAAACACTGTTGACATATTAATTACAAAGACCAAAGAGGAAAGAAATCCAAATTCTCAGCACATAAAGGAATCACCTGGTAGATCTCTCTGTATTCCATGGAAACATCTACCAGGCTGACCTTGACTAGTCAGACCGAAAACACACCCCTAGCCTTGCGTACAGTGCCACACCCAGAACCCTGGAGCTCAGGCCACAGGAGACGTTTCAGTTTTCACAAGCAGGTTTAGACTTCATCATCCATTTTGAGAATTATCTAGGTTCCTGATTTTGCCTCTACCAACCTCAATTCCACCTATAAATGATAGAAAGACAAAAATCCAGGGTTTTGTTCTTAATTAGTGCAAACTAGCATGTGATATATCCTTAAGTGAGCTTTGGATTTTTATCATCAAGTCTAGCTCTAATACAAATTATTTTAACAGTTAAAGAAAACCTGGCAGAATCTGCTTTTAGGCAAAAAGACTAGACACTCATACCTATTGAAACCACACCCTCTCTCTACAGTCTTACATTTATAACACTCACTGGTCCTTCAAAAAGCTTTCAGATTCTTTATTACTTTTTATACCATCGTTGCATGAGCTCACCATCCCATCAATTTTCATGGCATCCTTTAATTATTATGAGAATACAAGCAGTTAATATTAGCAAGCGTATTCCAGCATTCCCTTATACTGAGTCCCAGGAAAGGCAAAGGAAAGGAGGATGAGAAGTTCAGTCCAAAGGTCAACTAAAAAAATCTGGCTGGCAAATTTAAAAAAATGTCCGCTGAGATATCCAAAGAGGACGCCTGTCTGGAAGCTTTCCTGGGGTCAGCGAGCTGGCACCTGCCGAGTCCTGGACATCCTCTGTTTGGTCACCACTTGCACAGCCTGAAAGCTGGGGGGAGGGGGGACGGGGGGAGGGGGGAGGTGCACTCTGGGCACAGCATGGAATCTCTGTTTAGTTCTCCCTGTAAATCCGGAACCATAGCCTCTGAACTTGGCAGGGCTGCTTACAGGTGTAGGGAAACTCTGCTCATAAGCCCAGCACAGAGCCCAGTGCTTCATGATGTTCAAAATATTTTTTGTTTTTTAAAGGAAAGTTAAATCAGTGAAGTCTCTGTGAACTTCTCCTGGCTGAGTGTGCATTTGAAATCTGGATCATATAATGGGTTCAGTGGAATCTGCATCGGGGTTCATGGGAAGAGAATTTTGATGCTTAAAAAAAAATGGAACAAAGCACGGGAAAGACAAAGCCCTTATCTTAGGGGTTTCTGTCCTGTTCTCCCTGGACCCTGGCCTCACCCCAGGTGTGCTTTCCCGCGGCTGAGACAGGCCGTCCTCTCCTGTTAGCGTCAGCGTGCTGTGCGGTGGACACGGCCTCGGGTGTGGAGGGGCCTGTGGCCAGCGGCCCCAGCCTGTCCTCCAAGACAAACGCCCGGAGAGGCCCCTCTCAGCAGAGAAGAGGCCGTGGTTTGGGGCTCATCGCACACAATCATTTTACATGCTGTCAGGAGGATGAATCATCTTAAGCCCGATTTGGTGGTTCTCACTGATGAGAAAAAATTCTTCTGAAATGAAGGAAGGACTCGGGGTGTCTAAACACACTGGGCTTCCCGAGGACAGACGAGATGAAGGAGCCACAGAGGCAGGCCCTGGGCGACTCCCCGTCCTCCTATGTTCCCGATTTTATGGTGGACCTGGGACACATGCTCGGAAGGCCCTCCGAGGAACGCGGGAGGCGGGCGGAGCACAGACGGGCTGCGGGCCAGGTCCCGGGCTGGTGGGACGGAGGCACCAGCAGGCTGGCGCAGGAGGAGGGAGGAGGAGCGGCCTGGCTGGAGGCGGAAATGAACCGTCAACCACCCCAGTTCAGTCCAGTGCTGTGACAATAGGGGCCTGACAAATAGCGACTAAGTGGAATGAAACTATCAAAGAATGAAAGCCCACAGCCCCCCCCCCCCCCCCCCGCCGTCGGGCAGGAAGTGGGCCCGGGACTGGCTCCTCTCCCGATGCTGCTCTCCACGCTCCGCTCGGGCTGGCGGCCGAGGGGCCCGGAGCCGGCACAGGCCGAGCTGTGGACAATGGAACGCCAGGCTCCTGCGTTTCCCTCTGCTTTAAAACCATCTTCACCCACGAGCGAGATGTGCTGACAACGGAGCACGGTCATGTGGTCACAGAACAGCATAAAACCAGGGCGGTATTTATGACCAGAAAGTGTATGTACATCACGAACGTCAGCTTTCTGAGTGGTACGTCTGTCAGGGACTTTTTTTCTTTCTGTCTATTAAATGGAATGGTTTCCTGTTCTGGCCACTGAGATGCCTCTTACGATACCTCAACGCCAGCGGCATGGCTGAGGGAAGTCCTGATGCGCGTGAGTGACCCAGGCAACTGGACTGGTATGAACTGGAGCCTGGGCCCAAGCCTGGTAGATAGATGGTAGTGCTCAGGCACGGAGGCAGCCCCGAGGCTTCCCCACAGTCCCGCACACGCGTGGCATTTGGCGGGAAGCCTTCTCTCCCCAGATGTGCAGCCCGTCCGTCTCTGCCTGGCGTGGTGGGGTGGGTGCTGCACACTGCACACCCACGCGAACGTGCCCGGCGCCTCTCCGGCTCTAGCTCCCCGTAACCGCGCGTCGCCCGAAGAGCTCTCCCAGAGAACAGCTGACAGGCGGCCGCGGCCTGGGCCCCGAGGACGGCCTGGTGCCGGTCTGCCCGTGCCGCGTGCGCAGGGCCGGGCCACACACCGCCGCTCCGTGTGCAGTCGGCCCCCGGGGGCAGCCAGCTCCCCCCCACCCCCCGTCAGTCCCCGACAAAAGGTCTCTGCTACCACGGATGCAGTAAGGAGTCAAAGGGCTCCGAATACCCACCGCGATGTCTTTCTGACCCTGCCCGCTTAGGGGGAAGGGCCAGGGCGCACCTGGGAAACCTTCCGGCCACCCGCTGCTAAGGAAGCACGCGCGCTGACTCCGCCATCTCCCAACAGTGACACCCAGATGCCTCTCTGGCCACAGGGCTAGGCAGCCGCAGCAGGTCTGCCCATCATCTCGCTCCCCCTGCGGCCTGCCCTCCCACCAGAGAAGCCACCACCTTTCCGTGATGCAGGCGTGCGGCAGCCTGTGCCCCGAGGCGGGGAGGGGCCGGGGGAGACCTTTTTCTGCCAGGGGCCACCTGGACAAAACCATCCACCTAACACTGGCCTGCTCTATTTGGTCAAACATGTAACGAACTCACCCCTAATGCCTGGGAAGGGCCAGAGCAAATGGTTTCATAGGCTGATACAGCTGTGGGCTGGCCGTTCCCCACCCTGCTAAGGCTAACCACAGTGATTAAAACACGGCCCGATCCTTTGGGAAGTCTGACTACAGGTGAGAACAGGAGGCCTCTGTGCCGGGTCCGCGGTGCGGTGTCTGTGGTTGAGGCTCCTGTGGCTGGACACGCACCCGCGTGGCCTTCACCAGCTGTGGTCACAGGTTGCCCCCTTGGACTGCCCTCGCGCATTCCCCCCGGAGACCCTTCCCCGGGACCTATCTGTTGAGCCCGCAGGAGGAACCTTTGCCGATTTCTATTCTAAGACTAATTTAGCTCGTTTTTTGTTTGTTTGTTTAATATACTGTTGTTGATTTCAGAGGGGGAGGGAGAGAGACAATGATGAGAGAGAATCACTGATCATCTGCCTCCTGCCCGACCCACACTGGAAATCACACCTGCAACCGGGGCATGTGCCCTGGTTCACAGGCTGGACCGTGACCTCCTGGTTCATAGGCACGCTGTGGGCTCCGGGCTTTGTTTCTATGGGGGCACGTGTGACCTCTCCCAGGTGAGAATGCCAGCCAGTCGGGCCGGGCAGACTTCTCCCGCTGTAAGCGGCCTCGTCCTTGGGGCAATTGCCCCAACCTGGATGAGGGCTCAGTGGTGCAAATGATTTCCAAATTCAAGTTACTAAGTGGTAATTACGTAACATACTTTGAGATCCTGGAAGGTTTCAGTAGGTCCAGCACTGGGTAATGCCCCCTTGAAGGGAAAGAGAAGCTCTGGGTCAGCTCTGTCCAGGGCGTACCCCCACCTACGGGGACCTGGGCTGCTTCGGAACCCCCAGAACACCGAGGTTACCCTGAGGTTACCCTGAGGTTACGCGGGCTCTGGTAACCCGTTCCTTAGGAAGACGTCTCCAGACAAGGGCGCACGGAAGGCAAAGGGGACAGCGGGAAGGTGGAGGAGCTGTGCTCCGCAGAACAGAGGCTGAGGAGCCCGCTTGAGTGTGACTGCCGCCGCTAGCTCTCCCCAAGACCAGCTCTGCAACCCAGTCCCTCCGTCTCACTCCAGAAGGGCTCCTCCGAGCTCTGTCTCGCGACAGGGCTCATTGAGTACTACAAGCTGTTGAAGTTTTCTGGTGTATCTCATCCGATTGGATAACAGATAAAATCTGCTTGGGTTTGGGCCCTGCAGCTCTCAAACGCCCTTTTCAAATTGTTTCTGGTGTCTCAAGAACCGACTGGTGTTCGCTGGCACTGCCCAACGGATGGACAAGCCAATGGAAAGTTCTTCACTCGGTGTATTTTCCTCTACCGTAAGACCAGGAGGGAAGTCCTCTCTTCCTCACTCCGTCCTCCCACAGGCCCAGGAGGCTCCTGCTGTTCCAGGCACAGGGAATGCTGGCTGAGTGCAGGAGCAGATGGATGGATGAATGAATGAAAATGTCCCTCAGCCTGCTTCCATCACAGATAAAGGTCAGCGGCACTTCTCATTGAAGCTGCTACTGAGGAGGCCTGACCTGTGTGGTGATTAGACGGATCTTATACACCAAGGCAAAGAAGGGAGAGGCGAGAGAAGTGAGCGGACTCAGGTAACCAGGAAAATAAAGGAACAAGTTGCTAACAATGTAATGAAACTTTTTTGCTGCCCCTTTTGACAAGGGAGTACGTGGCCACTTCTGCCAGGGCCAGCCAGAGGTGGGCATGTTCCGCCGAAGGCATCATGGTCACAATTACCCGGTTTCCATGGCCCAAGAGCAGCCACAGAGAATTCACAAACAAAGGGTGTGGCCGTGTTCCGACAGAACCTTATATTGGACAGTGACATTTGAACTTCATGTAGTTTAGTCTTTTTTTGCTTTCCCTAGTGATTCAAAACGTAAAACGCTTTTTTTCCTCATGGGATTTGGTCCATGGTGTGCAGTCATCAACCCTCTTTGGACCAGCACTATTTCCACACTCACCACTCTATCCACCTCCAGGTGGGACAGCCCTCTTTCAGCATAGCAGACTCTCAAGCAAAAGTGCTGTTTGGAAGGCCATGGGCCTCTGCCACACTGTTTGGGACACACCCACAACAAAGCCACCCTAAAGCAACTGCACTTAGTGATGTTGTAGCTCCTTTCTTCTGCCTGATTTCCGTGGAAAGTAAGGAATGATAAATAAAATAGGTAACCGGTTCCTGAGTGAGGAACAAGGGTCCCACACTCGAATGTGCAGTCCAGAATGCCTACCAGAGCAACCATGACAACAACTCTGGAAGATAATTTGTTCTAGCTGATCATTGAGAATTTAATTTTATCAATTAAATAAACACAGCAGGAACTTGTATCACTTTATAAACACTACCAGCAACACATGTAACCTCAGGCTGAATCCAGTTTTTAAGGGCTTACTACATTTCAATGTAAAGTGAACTTTGGGGTGAGATAAATACAGTGCTTTTCACCTTCCACAAAAACTTGCTAAATTTAAAGATGTTTCCAAAGATTTACCTAAAAATCTGGGGATTTTATGATGTGCCTTTTGCTTGTATAAATATCCTACTCTTCTATAAGTTCATATTATTTGCCTGAATAGAAAAATATTAACTAGCTGAAGACAACTTTTGAGACAATCTTACTTTTAAAAGTTTAATTTGTCAAATAAGATAACTAATTTTTAAAAATCCCTTCTATCCTGAAAAATCACAACAAAAAGTTTAAGTATGTTTTGGCTGATTTTTCCCTGCAACTGTTTGAAGCTATAAATGACTTAACTCAGTAAAATTCCAAATGTAATTATCTTCTGTACTTAGCCTAGGGCTCTCCATATATCTCAGCATTGCTGCCTCGCATACAAAACAGCCTTTCCGACAGCGTGACCACATAGTGCACAGCATTGTTTAATTCCCTGAGAGGCTCACCTCCGCGCACCAGCCAGGCGGCCGGCCGGCCCGGTGCTCACGCCTCTGCAACGCGGCTGCACAAATGGGGTTTGGGGGGTCGGGCCTTTGCAATTGCACATTTTAATAATCTCCATTTCTGACCCAATTTTTACTTTCAGAAACGAATTTTCTACTAATTACACCAAGAATGGAGTTACCGCTAAAACACTGCAATGCACAAACAAATCATGTCAGGGAGTGGAGCTCATGCTAAAAATGCCCCCTCCAAGCCTCATAGCTGGGACCCACAGGACAACTGGCAGAAGTTCGTTTTCTCTGGTCATAAAGCACCTTCAGTATGACCCAAGCATTTCCAAGTACAAAGCTTTCCCGTGTGTGTGTGTGTGTGTGTGTGTGTGTGTCCGTGTGCATGTAAACGTGTGCCGGGAACTCTGGGAGGCCTGAGCACGGCCTGCAGGTGCGCTCACTGAAAAGGCTTGCTCACATCCGCTTGCTCTCTCTCTTCATTCACATCGGTTCTCTCTCAGCCTTTCTTCCCACCCCCCCCCCCCCTTCCATACTCTCCCAACTCCAGGTTAATAATATTAGCAACTTAAGGCACTTAACTAATAGCAGTTAACCAGCGAGTTAAAGAAGAGAAAAGGGAGGGAGGGAGGAAGGGAGGGAGAAAGGGAAGGAGAGAGGGAGAGGAAAAGAGAGGAAGAGAGAGGGAGAGAGAGGGAGAGGGAGAAGGAGAGAGAGAGGAGAGAGAGATGGGGCGCTGACAGGGGTGAGAGGTGGCTGCGGACACACAAACGCACAGAACCCCAAACAATGAACTGAGGCAGGACTTTCCCAAAGAGTGAAACATCAATCAATCAAATACAGCAAGTTCTGTACCTTCCATTCGATAACGAGTGACAGGGACTCATTGCAGAGGGCTAGTGAAGTTTGGAGTTTGAGGGACACTGAGGTAATAGGAAAAGGAAATTGGGTTTTACCTGTAGCTCTAACTGCTGAACAACCTGCATTTGTACTCTACATTGAGCTGTACTTCTATCGTCCAGCGCATGCTCACTGTTGAGATGT